ACATACATACATACATACATACATACATACATACACACACACACACACACACACACACACACACACACACACACACACACACACACACACACACACACATACATACTTTGTATGTATATGTGTATATATACTTTGTATATAGACACACACATATATATTAAGGCTTGCATGATTTTAGCTGAAGGAAATCTGAGGTTTATGAGGTTCATGAGTGGGGGTAACTATATCTTAATTTTTCATTGTAAAAGCATCTTGCCTTTGTTTTCTGATTACATTCTAAATGTATTTGTTACCAATTTTCTGTAGGTAGATACTACAGTGGTACCTCAATTTATGAACTTAATCCATATTGGAACGGTGTTCGTACGGCAAAAAGTTTGTGAGTCAAGGCAAGATTTCCCATAGGAATGCACTGAAAACCATTTAATCCGTTCAGGCTGTTTTTCATTCGTATGTCAAGGCGCTGTTCGTAGGTAGAGGCATTAGTTCTCATAGGAACTAATGCAAAGCCAGTTAATCCGTACTCTACCACTAGGGGGATTTTTTCTTCTTCTTTTGACCTAAGATGAACTTAGGTCAAAAAAAAAGGGCAAAAGGTTTTTCTTCCCTTTTTTCATTTGTAAGTAGAGGCTCCTTTCGCAAGTTGAAGCAACTTTTTGTGAACGGAGCTGTTCATAACTTGAATCATTCACAAGTGGAGACGTTCGTAAGTCAAGGTACCACTGTACTATCTTTTAGAGCTCAGTGTCTCTTACATGCATGTTATTTTTACATACTAGGATGCTGCTCCAACAGAATCTCTGCTGAACTGGCAAGATTATGAAGGACGAACTCCTCTCCATTTTGCAGTTGCTGATGGGAATGTGGCTGTTGTTGACCTGTTGACCTCCTATGAAGGTTGCAATGTAACTTCTTACGATAATTTATTTCGGACTCCTCTTCATTGGGCAGCTTTACTGGGTAAATGCTGAATGACAGTTTTTTTCTGGCTATGTATGAGCTTTTTTTTTGGATTTGTAAAATGAGTGATGTCTGTAAGTGAGAGGGAAGGACAGACAGTTAGTTTTGGTTTCTCTCAATGTCTTATTTTGCAGACTTTACATTTGTTAGCCTCTTTCCATATTGGATTGCAATTTTTATAAAAGTGTGCATGAAAATTTGTACACATTTTACAGTGGTGCCTCGCTTAACAATGTTAATTGTTTCCCAAAAAAAATCACTATGGGAAAACATCGCTAAGCGAAACACCATTTCCCATAGGAATGCACTGAAAGCCGGATAATCCGTTCCAATGGGAACGGATTACCATCCTTAAGCGAAAATCGCCATAGGAAACATCGCTAAGCGAAACAATCTTTCCCCCATTGGAATGCATTGAAGCCTATTCAATGCATTTCAATGGTTTTGACAGGTCCGTTTTCGCTATTTTTAAAGTGTCTTAAAATGTTCAAAAACTGTTTTAAATGCTTGGGATCGTTAGTGCACCTTGTAAAACCTTTGCAAACTTAATTTGGCTTTGTTCTGAGTCTTCATTAATTTTTGGTGAATTCCCCCCCCATTGGAATGCATTGAACTGTAGGCACCACTGTGTATACATTACTGTTAAGGACATGTACACATGTTTGTACACTGGTGCCTCACAAGACAAAAGTAATTCATTCCGCGAGTAGTGCCATCTTGCGAAATTTTCATCTTGTGAAAAGCACTCCGTCTTGCGAAATTTTCATCTTGTGAAAACCACTTCGCAAGACGAATGTATAATTTTCGTCTTGCGAGGCATTGGTCTTATTGTGAAAAGCACTTCTCAAGACGAATGAATTATTTTCGTCTTGCGATGCATTGGTCTTACGAAAAAAATCATCTTGCGAAGCCCAGCCATAGAAGAAGCCGTCTTGTGAGTCACCAACACAATCACAAAACGCTTTCGTCTTGTGAGTTTTTCGTCCGACGAGGCGTTTGTCTTGCGAGGTACCACTGTATTAGGTTTTGCTTGATGCAACATTTCCAGTTGATTTTCCTCTTTGTAGACTTAGTGCATCACAGGTAGGTTGTGCAGAGCTGTTCAGGAGCTTATAGTGCTGAACAATGCATTTTGGCAAGAACCTTCTGTCTAGCATTCATGTCTGTTCAGGGTTCCCTCTCTTTCCCTCAGTTCCTTTTCATCCACCATATTAGCAATGAACTTGCAAACGTCTTTCCAGTTAGGCTGTCACTATTTTTTTTCATTATTTTCACTGTTTACTATTCATCCTTCATTTCTGTAACTTATGGTCTTCGTTTCACATTTTCTCTGCTTTTCATCTGTTGTTTCTGTCCTCATGTGCTTTGTTTCTGTTGCTACATCCTCTGAAGCCCTATAGCTGATTACAGTGTGCTTGATTCTGGACCAGTTGCAGTCGCTGGACCATCTTCAAAGGAAGCACCACGTAGAGCACATTGCAGTAATCTATGCAAGATGTTACCAGTGCATGTGTAACTGTCATGAGATTCAGCTTGTCCAGGTAGGGCTGTAGCTGGTATAATTTCTGCAGCTGAAGGAAGGCGCCCCTGGCCACTGAGTCCACCTGGACTTCCAGAGTTAGACTGGGGTCCAGGAGCACCCCCAGGCTGCAGACCCTGTCCCTTAGGGGGAGTGTAACCCCATTCAGGTCAGGGAAATGGCCCTCCAACCTGTCCGGCGAAGCACCCACTAACAGCACTTCCGTCTCATCTGGATTGAGTTTCAATTTATTAATCCTCATCCAGCCCATTATCAGGTCCAGACATGAGTTCAGCACAGAAACCGCCTCACCTGGATTGATGGAAAACAAGAGGTAGAGCTGACTATCGTCAGCATATTGCTGACTCCTCAGCCCAAACCTGCTCAGGACCTCTCCCATCGGTTTCATGTAGATGCTAAACAGCATGGGGGACAGTATCAAGCCCTGAGGTACCCCTTGACATAAATGCCATGGGACAGAGCAACTGTCCCCCAGCACCACCCTCTGGACATGGTCAGCCAGGAAGGAGCAGAACCACCGTAAAACAGTGCCCCCAACTCCCAACCCAGCCAGCCTGCCCAGAAGGACACCATGGTTGATGGTGTTGAATGCTGCTGAGAGGTCCAGGAGTATCAACAGGGTCACACTCGCACTGTCTCTCTCCCGGCACAGGTCATAATCGTACAGGGAGACCAAGGCAGTCTCCATACCAAAAACGGGTCTGAAACCCAATTGAAATGGATCCAAAAATCTATTTCATCCAGCAGCGTCTGGAGTTGCCCGGCCACAACCCACTCCAGCGCTTTGCCCAAATAAGGGAGGTTCACCACTGGTCGGAGGTTAACCACCAGCCTTGGGTCCAGGTTAGGATTTTTAAGGAGTGGCCAAATTACCGCCTCTTTCAAAGTGGTAGGGAACACTCCCTCTCTCAAAGAGGCATTCACAGCCTCCTGGACCAAATGCAACCCACCCACCCCCGGCAGATCTTCCAATTAGCCAAAATGGGCAAGGGTCAAGTAGAGTGGTGGTAGAATGGACAGATCCAAGCACCCTGTCCACTTTGTCAGGTCTCAACAATTGAAACTCATCCCCCCATTTCTGATGGGTCTTGGGAGTTTGGTTGCTTTTTGGGGAGAATTTCTCCGTTTCCGATGGGTCCTACATTCTTCCCTTGCTTTTCCCTTTGTTTTCTTTGTATTTCCTACCTGCCCCCTTTGTTCTGTGTGCATATCCAATCTGCTCCGTTTGTTTTCTGTGCATTTCCAATGGTTCTTCTTCGTGGCCTCTGTGAATACACACTAATGGGTTAATCTGCGCTCGAGCAGAGCAGTTTCAGAAACTTTCACAGCTTTAAGCACTTAGTGCTGGTACCTCCCCTACACCAGCTATATAACTCTGCCCCCAGGACTAGTGCCTCAGTTCTTTTTTCGACCCCAGCTCTAGCAGCAGCTTCGTTTGGAACTTCGGAAGTAAAAACAATTCTATTCCTTTCCTTTCTTTGACCTTCCCTTGTTCTTTCTTCTGTAACAAGTTGTTTCTTCTGCCTGGGGGAAAAAGTACTAGACAGCATTAGCTGTTCTTTGTGAAGGCTTTACAAAGGCTTTACAAAGCCAGCTTTAGAGCCTCAGGGCTTTTTCTCTTAAAGACAAAGGGTCTCTCTTACCTTCTTAGCAAGATTACCCCTGGGCTCAAGAGCAACAGCTTTCTACCTGTTTGCAATCTTCCTCTTTCTATCAAAAGAAGAGGACAGCTTCTGAGCTTTGCCCTTGGGAGAAGAAAGGGCCGCCTACAGCTCTGGCCACCATCCCCGCTTGCCAGTGATTCTCCTGACATGGGGTAAAAGCCTCTGTGGTGAGGTTGGCGTGGAACAGCCTTCTTTCATCAAGGGGCTCGTTTATACAGCTGTCAAGTCTGCAGTAAATTGGGCACTTGTAGCCCCAGGGTTACCCTTGGAAGAAGAGCGGGGACCCTTCAGCGCCAGCCAATGTCCCCACCTGTCAGTGATTCTCCTGACTGGGGTAAAAGCCTCTGTGGTGAGGTTGGCATGGAACAGCCGTCTTGCATCAAGGGGCTCATTCATACAGTCATTTAACCTGCAGTAAGTTGGGCATCTGCAGCCCTGCCCTTGGAGAAGAAAGGGCCACCTGCAGCACCAGCTTCCCCGCCTGTCAGTGATTCTCCTGACATGGGGTAAAAGCCTCTGTGAGGTTGGTGTGAAAGAGCCTTCCTTCGTGGGCTCATTCATATGGCTACTAATTCTGGAGAAAGCTGCGCGCTGAGGCTGTAGATGTTCCGGCAACATACGGTAAGCCTTGGTTTTGCCTTTGGGGATAGAATGGGCCCCCTTCAGCTCCCGCTGCCAGCTCTACCTGTCAGTGATATGCCTGACTGGGGTGACATCTTTGGGTGATTTGGCATAAAACAGCTGTCATTTATCAATGGGCTTGTTCACACAGCTGCTATTTTCAAAATCAGCTAGGTGCCAAAACAAGAGCTTTCTGGCAACATTTGGCAGCCCTAGCTTTGCCTTTAAAAAAGGGGGGGGCTGCAGCTCCCACTGCTAGCCCTGCCAGTCAGTTATATTCCTGTCTGGGGTAACACTTGTTTGGTGGCTCATAATTTGGCATAAAACGGCCCTCTTTATCAATGGGCTTGTTCACACAGTAGCCTGCAATCCCACCTTAGCCGCTGGCGCCTGCATAGGCTTATAAGGAAAGGACTCATAGGAATCAACCCTAAAACCCTGCTACTGTCAGGTAGACCCGAGTAATTTTCCTCAGGAGCGTCCTATCACATTGACAAGTTTGTGCAGGACCAATCCCTTTTATTTGGTACAGGAGCTATGAGCCTTTTCTGCCACCACCGCTGCCCCATTCCACCTGGCACTGTTCTGAGCCATGGGCTAAGGAGTGCTTTGTGCCTCCACCTATGCTTCAAAGGTGTAGTGCTCCCTTGAACTCAGCTCTGGCAGCAAAGTGTTCGTGGGTTCAACCTAACCCGCTGATAACCCTTTCAGCTGTCTCTGTCCCGGCAACTGTAATGAGACTGAGTTTGGTCAGGCTCATGCTAAGAAAGACTGCTCCCCTAATCGTCAGAAGGACTTGCCTTATTCATCTGGGACTCACAAGAGTCAGAAGGGGAGGAAGACTTGTGCATTTAATAAACTGCCGTGGTATTCTCTGATGCGACCTGGACCACCTGACCCCGGAGTAGGGGCTCAGAGACCCAAAAGACCTTGGTGTTTGCCAGGTGCTCCAGCACAATGATATGAAGGCTGGCCAGCAGTGGCCAAGGGCAACGTGGTAGCGCAGACAAGCAGGCCGGCGCTCATTCATTACGCCTTCTTGTTCTCACCATCAGAATGGTGTTATGCTTGCCACATTTGTCCAGTAGCTGTACATTTGGCAGGCAGAAATGATTCAGTGGCAGTCCATCTCAGCAGACTACGGTTCTGTTCTCACGAGCAGGCTCTCAACAATGCTACCTTTTGTTGCCTCTGTCATCGATAGGGGACTCCAGACATAGACATTTAGCATCCTAATTAAACAAGAAGTGTGCCATATTCGGCTCCCGAGCTGGCATCGGCTGCAGTTCCCTAGGGGATGCCTTCCTGACCAATTAGTCACGGGGCCTTCTTTACAGGTTCCCACCTTTCCCCCTTCTTCCTAGCACTGTTGTCTGTGTCCACCATGAGTGTGCAAACATCATGCTTGGTCGCCTCGCTAGCCATGGTTCACGCTTTGCTTTGCTTTGATCCTGCTCCCCTGAGCTGTGGAATACATCAGGTTGCACCTGGTCCCTCATCTGCTTTCTCGGGACGAATATCAGCTATTTCATCCGGACCTCGAGTCCCCCTACCTCTCCGCATGGAGTCTTCACCAACTGTAACAGACATACTCAATCATGTTTGCAAACCTTCTATCACCTTGACCTACTCCTATAATGGGTAGGCGTTCTGTCACTTTGCATCAAGACGACATTTGCCTACTAGGCCAATGTCTCTGGATGCATTCCTTCAGTTTCTCCTTCACCTGTTTTGCCTGGGACTGTCCCATTCTACCTGCAAGCTGTTTCTCCGAGGCCTGGAGAATATGCAACCTGCCTATAGACCACTAACATCTCTGGTCTCTCCAATCAATTCTTTGGCGGCTTATGAGGCCTTCCTTCAAGCCCTTGGCTTCACTATCGCTCCACTTGCTGCCTTTCTCCTGGAAATAACCTTAGCTTGCAGGACTGGAGGACAGGCTACACTAAGAGCGGGTCCTCCTTTCTGTAAAGTAACCTTACGGCCAGGCCTTACCTTCCTGCCTAAGGTATTTTCTGCCTTCCATCAGAACCAACCAGCTGTCCTTCCTTTCTTCTTTCCCACGCCATCTTCACTGCTTGAGACAGCTCTGCATGCTCTAGATGTGAAGTGTGCTCTGTCGCATTATGTGCATCACACGACCACTTTTCATGCCTCACAGCGTCTCTTTGTCACCTTTGCCGGTTCCTCCTTCAGAGCACCAGCTTCCTCTCAGACCATCTCTAGATGGGTAGTCAAGACCATCTGTCTTCCTATGATTTGGCAGAGACTCCTCTTCCAAAGTCAGCGAGAGCTCACTCTACTAAAGCTGTGGCATCCTCAACAGCCTTTCTCCGTGGAGTGGACATTGTGGATGTCTGCCGTGCTGCCACATGCACCACTCCACCTATCCTCATCTCGCTCTACCGCCTGGATGCCCGGCCGAAGGCTGAGGCTGCAGCAGGTCAAACTGTCCTGGCTTCTGCACTTTTGTGATGTCCCTCCTCCTGGTTAGTCAGCTTGCCAGTCACCCATTAGTGTGTATTCACAGAGGCCACAAAGGAAAAAAAGAAGTTACTTACCTGTAACTCTGGTTCTTCGAGTGATCCTCTGTGAATTCACACATCCCGCCCTCCTCCCCGCTGTCTGTCACATGTGCCATGGCATGCTAGGCAGTGGCGGTTGGTTCCTTAGAACTGAGACACTAGTGCCAGGGGCGGAGTTATATGGCCGGTGTAGGGGAGGTCCCAGCACTAAATGCTTAAAGCTGTGAAAATTTCCAAAGCTGCTTTGCTCAAGCGCAGATTAACACATTGGTGTGAATTCACAGAGGACCACTCGAAGAACCAGAGTTACAGGTAAGTAACTTCTTTGTCTTGTATGCTTGATTGCTTTTCTCCCCTCCCCCCTTCGGCTGGAAGGGATTGATCAAGTTTCCAATGAGTCTTACAGTGATTTTTTTGGTGATTTTTTCTTTGACTGGAACGAATTAATTGCATTTCCGATGGGTCCTGTATGCTTCCCTTGCTTTTCTCGATTAATGGATTAATTGTGTTTCAATGCATTCCTATGGGAAATGGTGCTTTGATTTATGACCATTTCAAGTTACATCCATCTTCTGGAACGGATTATGGTCGTAAGTTGAGGCACCACTGTATAACAAAAGCATTTTTCAAGGAGCTCTTGCAACATGCCTATAAAATCTGAATCACTGGCAGCCATTGTTGATCCAGTGAAAACAAGACAAGAATTATTCAGTGAATAACCAGTGTGTCTTACAAATTTTAATGGGTCTAATCCTGGGCATGTCAGCCAACTCCTAGACATCCACAGGATGCAATCCCTCTCCTTTTTGTAATGCTTGTGGTCAAATTTGTGGTTTTGCATTTATGACAAAATCAAGAGCACACATCTAGAATAAGAAATATTTTGTTCATATTCTATCCTGTCTTTTTCTTTTTTAGGTCATGCACAGATTGCCCACCTTCTTTTAGAAAGAAACAAAGGTGGGACAATCCCATCTGACAGCCAAGGCGCAACACCTTTACACTATGCAGCACAGAGCAACTTTGCTGTAAGTGAGACAAACGTGTTATATTAAAATATTAGTTTGGGTAAGATAAAGCCCTTTGTTCTCAGTTCTTTCATTAATTTGCCTGTCTTTTGGATGTCTTACTGGTGACAACACTTTTTCATATTAAATGAGCTTCAGCTGCAGACAGACAATTGTTAATTAAGAAAACTGAAAGATCAGGGGAGTTCTTTGTGACCTCTGTGAATCACATATGGGTTGTGTAGTGTGCATGCGTGGACCTTCGGACTATTCTAGAACTTAAACGAAAGAGCATTAGCCTCCTCCCCCTCCTAGAGCATATGTATTGGTGCGCAAAAGCCTGATCCTCTCAGTTCCATAAAGTAAGATCATTTATTGTCTTTACCTCATGACATAGGACTGTTTATTTTGCATTCCCCACCACACCACCTTTTATGGCCCCTGGTGTACCTTTTAAAAAGTGTACAGCCTGGGGCAGGAAGGTTCCTCTGTCCAGTGGACATTTAAAATGTCTTTATTGTCTGGGTGAATCTCACCAGTCACGTTCCTGTCCACATTGTCACACATTTGGGCCCTTGGCTGTTAAGAACCCTTGATTCCGCCTCAGTACTTAACCTGTGGGAGAAGTCCCTTCAACCCTCTTCTTCTAAAATGAATGCTCTGCCTGCCTCTCAGAAGTCCCTTGTTAAGCAGAATAAGACCACCCTTGCAGGACCCAAAGCTATGGCCATATCAGCTTCCAACTACAGCCTCCATGCCCATGCCAGATATTGCTGCTAAAAAATTTAAAAGCCTCGCCTCCAAGTCATCATCTAAATCCTCAAAAAGGCCAAGAAGGCTAAACCAGAGAAGTCTTTGAGTCTGGGAGAACACCCCCAACCACCCCTTCCTTAAGTTGCTCAAGCCAACCCAGTTCCTCTGGGAATCCCTGCTTTTGCCTCTCTGATTCTGGGTCATCCTCTTATGTGGCTCAAGTGTGCTCCAGATCCGTTGGGAGCGTTCTCCCTTCTCCAGCCTTCTGATTTGCCATGCTTGGGCCACAGATGTTCTTTTCCTTCTCCACCACACCTTCTGGATTTAGGATTTTTTTCAGGCCTTGTTAACTTCCATGGTCCCTTCGGCTTCAGCTTCAACCCAACCCAGTGCTTTCTAGCTCTATCAAGCTTCAGCATCTTCGGCTCCGACTGCACCTCCTAAACATCAGCCTCAGTCAGGCTTTGAATCCATCTACTGTGGGATCACAGCCTCTTCCTCGGATTTTCTCCTGGCAGTCAACACAGGCTTCTCAGATGCCTTCCTCTCAAGTGTTTATACAAGAGCAACCGAGGGTTTTTCAGCTGCCATTGCAGTATACTCCTGTGCACTATTACGAGAGGATACCTGACACCACTCCCCTTCCATATTGGTTTGGACACTCCAAAAAGCCCCATATGCACCACTCACCTCTGATGTTTCCTCCCTGGTTCACCTTGGTATGGTCCCATCTCTGCAAGGTGTCTCTTCTTCCTCTATTGAGGTTTATCTCACTGCTATCATGTCATATCAGCGTGAAGGATCCCCAGCTTCCCAATTCTTCAAGCATCCTCACTTGTAACTGTTCCTGATAGGTCTCAAATATACTTACCCTGGTCGGACTTACCCCACCTCAATGGTCCCTTCCTGCTTGTTGAAGGGCTGAAAAGATGGGGCCAGCTTGGCCTCCTGGGGGAGGGATTTCTAGAGTCTGGAAGCAGCAACAGAGAATGCCCTCTCTCATGTCCCAACCACACACTTGAAAGAGAAAGGCCCTCCCTGATTATTGTAACACCCAAGCAGGCACATAAAGGGAGATGCAGTGCTTGAAATACAGCCATTAGAGTATGCCCACTTGAATTAATGAAACTTATGAAAGAGTTACTCACGATATATCCATTGATTTAGTGCAATTTATTACATTAAGCCAGTTGTTCCCAGCTTTGGGGGCCCCAAATGTTCTTGGACTATAACACCCACAGCGCTTCATCACTAGCTGTGCTGGCCAGAATTTCTGGGATTTGTAGTCAAAGAGCATCTGGGGACAAGTGGGAGAAAGATTACAGGGGATGAGTGTTCATGTGGTCCTGATCATAAAGCTCCAACTGCCTACATCACTGAAAAATCAGCGCGCACACACACCTTTTCAAGAAGAAATCAGCTGATCACACAGAAAAAACCCTGTTTGAATCATTCTGGCTTGAAAAAAGTAGAAGCCCCCAGCAGCAGAGAAAGAAGGCTGTGCTGGGAGCAAATAGTGCTGGACCAATCCAAATTGGTCTTTGTGTCACGTGATCAGAAAAAATGCTTCAGATCAACCCATACAGCAAATCCTATGGTATTTGATCATGTAGTCACAACCTAAAACAAGGGCCAATAATCCGATATCACTGAAAGCCTGTAGGCATCTTTTTTATTCCATTACTAAAGATTTGGTATATTGGGTAAATTACAGGAAGCTGGTTCAGCTTAAAGCTGCCTTAGGTCCTATTAAGGTGGAATATAAATGTTTTAATTAAAGAAAACTCTGTTCACGTTTCTTCTTAAGTGTCTGTGTAGTATAAGAGTTTTATTGTCTTAGTGGGGGAGTGGTATTGTGGATGTGTACGAATGAAAGGCTAAGTAGTTGATAATCCTTTTGTGCCAGAAGAATATATGTCTAGGATAGGACTTGGTCTTTAAAAAGAAGCAAAAAAAAGAAGCAAAGAAAATTTCTCAGTGTCTCCTTGTTTCAAAGCTCAGTTTAATAAAAAGGAATGTGGAAAAACTGTCTTTCATTAACAGAGTAATACATACTCTGACGCCTTTACTGCAAATTCACAACCAAGGTCCTATTGCTTTGCCTATGTTGTGTCAGTGTGAAGCTTTTCAGTTTCTGCAATACCTTCTGTGTACATATCAGGCAAAGTCCAAAGAAATAAAACAAAACGAAATATGTGGCACTTTAAGGGTAACTATTATATTTTAATGTGAGCTGTTGTGGACAAATCCACTTCAGCAGTGGACTTTCCATATGTCTGATGAAGTGGACTTGTCCATGGAAGTTCACGTTGAAATATAATAGTTAGTCTTTAAAGTGCCACATGTTTTTGCCTTTTGTTTTGTTTCTTTGGATTTTGCCTGATGTGCTTGCACATACTAACACAGCTCTCTTCTAAAACTTTCTTTGTACATATCAGCATCCCAGATAGGCAGTCATGGAATTGACACAGTTCCTATAATGTGGGTTACCTCGCAGTCTTGTCCCTCTTACTGTACAGCTGGGAATTATTTTCACAGCCAGTACAATACTGTGCGAGCTTACCTTCAGGTACTTTAAAAATAAAGAAGTATGTGGCAGAATCCACATTTGAAAAATAGGACAAAGAACAAACTCAGTTGTGAACATGTTAGCCTCTTGGAAGGCACAGGTTTTAATTTTGTGCCATTGCCAACTGTGAAGTACATTCGCAAATGTAGTAAAAAAATTTCAAAAGGCTTATAGGCTTCATATCATTGAAGAAGTACCAAGTGAGGCAAAAATACCTCTCGAATTTTAAAGGTCAACAAAAAAGACATGGTAAATGTGATTCAAAATTTTATTATATAATTTTATTATATAATCTAAAAGTGCATGGAATAGTGTTTGTTTTCACGTAGTTTTGAAAATGACATCGTCCAGATGGTAGCCTTCAATTTTTGAAATTTTGCATCACCTGGCAGGTCATTTGTGACTCTTGCTGCAGTTTCTTGGTGCATATAACAGCCTTCAGTTCATCCATAGTTCTTGGTTGATGCTTGTAGACCTCAGCTTTCTGACAGCCCCAGAAAATCTGTAGACTGTGAAATTTTTAACAAACAGTAATATGGTTTTTCGGTCCAGAATAGCAGCACTTCTGCCAAGCACAAAGTAGATACAAAAAAGCTCTCTGCATCACAATCACAGATTCGTTGTTTTTGATAAACGCTTCTATGTCGAATGCATAGTGCATAACCATCCAAGCCATGGCAATGACTGAAAAGGTAACTAACGCATATGCTACCAAAATATGCTTCTGTGATCTGCCCCACTTCACTAGTGCCAGACAAATAGCTAATTGAAATCAGGGACTTTTTTCTTTTGCCTCACCATGTAAAACAAAAACAACAGAGTAAGACTCTTTCATTGCCTTTGTCTGCCGCACTCACTGTTGACTTAAATACCCTGTTTCCCTGAAAATAAGACCTAACCTGAAAATAAGCCCTAGTATGATTTTTCAGGATGCTTGTAATATAAGCCCTACCCCAAAATAAGTCCCAGTTAAGTGAAACCTCTCCCTCCACCATTGTACAGCAACCAGAAGAAGATGATGTGATTGTATTTGAATAAATGTAGATTGTTGTTCATGAAAAAAAAAATCCCCTAAAAATAAGCTCTGATGAGTTTTTTGGAGCAAAAATTAATATAAGACCCTGTCTTACACTGTTTCCCCCAAAATAAGACAGGGCCTTATATTATTTGCTCCAAAAACACATTAGGGTTTATTTTCAGGGGATATTTTTTTCATGTACAACCATCTACATTCATTCAAATGCAGTCATGTCATCTTCTGGTTGCTGCACAATGGTGGAGGGGGGGGTTTCACTTAACAGAGGCTTATTTTTGGGGTAGGGCTTATATTACAACCATCCTGAAAAATCCTACTAGGCCTTATTTTCAGATTAGGTCTTATTTTAGGGGAAACATGGTACTAATGGCAGGGGGAGCATGTATGAAGCTTAATGGGCTTAAAACAGAGCCCAGGGCATAAGAGTTCCCTAATGATAATATTCCAGATGATGAGGCTTGACTGTATATTTCCTTGCAAAACAGAATTAAGTTTTCTGCATTGAATAAAAATTATTTGCTGTTGTAAAGGTGTATTTTCTAATCACTTCAGTGTCCTTACTTGGTGAAGATTTGTGTTCTAGGATACAGTGGAAGCATTTTTGAAACATCCTTCTGTGAAAGATGACTCAGATCTCGAAGGAAGAACATCTTTTATGTGGGCTGCTGGAAAAGGCAGTGATGATGTCATCCGAACAATGCTGAACTTGAAAGTAGACATTGATATCAATATGGCAGACAAATATGGTGGCACAGGTAAAGCAGAGTACAAAATGAGGAGATTGTGAGGGTTTTTGTTAAATAACTGTGAATCATATAAGCACACATATATACATAAAGGTTTCTGAATTCAAGGATCGCATGGGGCTCAGTGTGAATTGATAGGTTGTGTGAAGAAAACAGGATAAACAAACATCTATAGTTAATTTTTAAAAAATCAAGAACTAAGCAGTTGCTGTTTCAATTACTGCAAATATTCCACCCCCACCTACTCCCGGTTTTTTGCACATCCAACATTAGATTTAGCTTTATATTTCTTAATTGGAAGTTGCTTTGAGATGCATGGCAGAACTGCTTTGGAAACTGAGAAGTTTCAAAAGCAGTGAAGTGTCTTTACCCCAAATAATGGCAGGGATAAAAAGTGAACTTGTCACTATGTACATGTAAATCATCATATTTAGCTCTTACAATTCGACCCCAGAAATTTAAAGAGTGAGTATGAATGGAAATGAATGTTAATTATATAAGATTAAGCTTGATAGGCAATATAATTAACTATACAGCTGGAACACAAAGATAAAACCGTTTGATAGAATAAGTAAACTATATATACGATTGGTATTTGAAAGGAAAAGCATTATGGTCTGCTTGAAGCTGATATTTCTTCATTCTAGATGAAACATGAAGCAGTGTTCACTTTTATGCTACTTTCATTTGTGTGAAAGGATTATTATTATTGACAAAATTAATAAAACCATCATGAGTATAAACATAGGTGCTTAAGAGCTCACCTTGGTGCTTCATTGGCTTGGAACCAAATCTCATCATGCTAACATCTAAAATATATTTTTGGATGATGATGACATGTTTAAATCCCGATTTTCCCCCCTGTGTTTTCAGATGTACTTTGTATTTTAAACACGTAACTGCCCCAATTGCATAAAAAGGTATGTGTATCATGTTTTAACAGCAAAAGTAACATGATTCAGAAATGCCAAATTCTACCTACTTACATCTTATTTTCCTTTGCCTAGTCTCCCAGTACATTTTTCTCCTTAGTCACATTTTCATACTGTGAATAACTTCACTTTAAAGTAAAATATGGGGGAAGAAGCAGAGAGATTCTGCATCTGTGAACTATGCTGTTTTACTTCTAAATTTGTATGCACACACATGCCCACAAGGTTAGAGATGGGTAACTTGAGGTCCTCCAGATATTGGATTGCAGCTCCCATCACTCTTGCCTAGTTAATGCTGGGGAATGATGGAGTTTGTAATCCAACTAAAAGCAAAGCGTGCTGCTTATGCACCATCCTATAATGCTTAAAGCACTATCTGGATGGTTTACAATTTAATTATGCAGTCTACACATTGCCCCCCCCCAGCAAGCTGGGTAATCAATTTCCTGACCTTGGAACAATGGATTGAACAGAGCAGAGTTTTGGCTGCAGTACTGCAGTGTAACCATTACACCACGAGCCTTCTTAAAAATCTGGACAGCCACAAGTTCCCCATTTTTGCCTGATGTGATTATGAGAGCTCCATGATTAGGAGCTTGAGAAAGCTGGGTTAAATGCACATGTTTCTGAAAGAGACTAGGATACAGTTGCTATGAAATCAGCTAGATTGAACTGGGACCTACCATTCCGTTAGCATAGTTCCTTGCATTTGATTACTGAGCATAATCACTATTCAACTTGACTTTTAATAGAACTGGAAAACAAGGCATCTGTTATTGTATAGCAAAATGATACTAAGGAAAAAGAATTTCTTTCTGCTTAGAGATCACTGTCGTAGGAACAGCACAGAGGCAGCTTTACAGCTTTGCCGTCACTGACTGTGTACAATGGAGAGGGATCTGAGCTTTGATAGAACAAGGCTCCATTGTGACCAGCTGGCTGAAGAATCTCTTCAGTCACTCTGACTCCAAGAAAATTTGGCTTACAAGAAAATACTAAACAAAGACTTGGAAGCAGGATGCCTGCGTCAGAATGAATGATGGAGAGGGAAAGAACTGAGCCATGCTGACATAGCAGCTCCTTTATGTAACTGTATTGTAACAAACACCTCGCATGTCAACTGGTTGAGTAGTTAACTGTCTTGTGTTTCAGAAGTGTAAAGCTGAAAAATAGGATCTATACAGTAGGGTCAGACCATGGAGCCAAATTCCATCCAGCGGGAGGTGGCATTCTTGTCAGACTTAATTTCTATACATCCACCCACCCTATTGGCTTGTTTTCACCAACATAAATCAAGCTGTTCTACCACTTAGTGCATCTTATGTGGGACACCATTAACAGCTCACATCCTTGTGGATTTACATTTCAATCTTACTTTGTAAGTAAGATTGAAGTGTAAATCTAAGGAAGAATTTCAGTCACTGTTTTTGCAGTATATTTTAAATGATGAGAGGGGCAAAACAAAGAGTATGATATAACTTTCCTCTGTACATAAAAAAAAGCTTTCTTTCTACAAAGTGCTGTTCTAGGATTAGGCCCATTCTGTATAAGGAGGTAGTCTATCTTGGTCTCAGTACAAACTGGGAGGAGGGGGGCAAAACAGCCAGCCAAGAATAAAAGCAGCTTTGGAGGAAAAAAATGTGATATCAACAGTTAAACCTGAACTATGACATGGTTGATAACTTGAAGTTATTCCAGCACTGAAAATCCAGACACTAAAGAAGATGAACAAAATAAATGGAGGAACTGTATGCTTTTACAATGCTAATCTCTCAACATTACGAAGTTAAAGTTGATGAGCTTGAAGATTAAGTATCAATTACCTTGCTGTTGATTTATATTTTGCTACATTCACAGTTCTAATTGCTGTCCTTTAATTTTTACGTTCTCTTTTTGCCTTCTTTCAGCATTACATGCTGCTGCCCTTTCTGGCCATGTCAGCACCGTGCAATTGCTGCTAAAACATAATGCCCAGGTAGATGCGACTGACGTAATGAAACACACTCCGCTTTTCCGTGCCTGTGAGATGGGGCATAAAGAAGTGATACAAACTCTTATTAAAGGTCAGCTGTGACAAAGTCATAAATGTCTTCATAGAAACATTGCTGTCTTTGGCTTTTGAAATGAATTAATAGTAATGACAGACAGCACAGCCTAATACCTACACTGAATTACAGTAGTAGAAACTTAGATTCCCACCAAAGTTTAATTAAAGCAGTGTGTGGGGTAAATTCAGTGGCAAAATGTCAAAGAATGTTAAGGAAAGCTTTTAAAATATTTGAGATAGCAAAATTTCTTCATAAGCATATTCCATACAATTTTACCAGAAACTGACTGAAATCTTGTTGTGAAATTACACTTGTGTAATTCGAAGTGGAGCAAATCATGCCAAGGCAGAAGTGATATTCTGGAAGGACTTATGCAGGCATACCACACGATAATTGCACAGTGAATCACATGATCGATTGTGCAGTCAAATTCCATAATGCAGACTGCCTAGGTGTAACACCTGGCACCGTTCTGCAGGTGTAACCTTACATTATGCCCCCTTGAACAGAATTTCAGCCACTTGAACACTTACTGTTTTTAGCTTTGTATATTATTTTTAATGATGGGAGCTGCCCTGGGTTCTTTTGAGGAGAAAGGCAGGTAAAAATATTTTAAATAAAAATAAATACACATAATCAATAAGAATTGTATTTGAACCCTCAGTATAAACAGAAACTCACATATTTGATACTGTGCATCTTGTATATTTTAACAAATGGTTGACTGACTAGAATAAAGCAGATAAACCTAGTGATAGTATTTCTTCACCTCTGATATACGAAATTCAGTGCCTGAACAAAATCAGGCAGTTCTTTTGCCTGAGTTGGTGCTTCCTTGCACAGCTGCCATTTGTTTAGTACTGAAATATGCAGAACAGAATTGGATCCTAGTGTTCCTAAGGTAAGGAATCCTTGAACCAAAACTTGCTCAAGTCATTACGAAGGCAGACATCTTTTCTTGCTTTACCCATCCTATTCACAAAGTTCCGTAGTTTGGACAATATTTGTATTTCATGTTTTCAAGCTTGTTACTGTGTTTTCTTTCACATTTGATCCAGAAATGATTTTGAGTATGTAATTCTTAAAAGCTGCTTCTTTACTTTTAACATACTACCTTATCAAATTTATTGCCAGCTATAGATGTTTGGTTAACTCTATAATTCTCAAATCTTGGTTCTGTATATAAGTTTTGTTTCCATTGGAGCATAAATGTACAAATCTGCTGTTCTGTTTGGTGTAATATTAGGACAAGCATTTTTGAGGCTATAGGCAAAACTATATGTACAATAGGACCGCCGTAGCAGCAGGAAATCAGTTCAGTGCTCCACTGTAAATGCCTGAAACTGCAGATACAAAGGATCCTATCCAGTGGTCCCCAACCTTGGGCCTCCAGATGTTCTTGGACTTCAACTCCCAGAAATCCTGGCCAGAAGAGGTGATGATGTAGGCTTCTGGGAGTTGTAGTCCAAGAACATCTGAAGGCCCAAGGTTGGGGACCACTGCTATATACAACATACAAGATTGCAGAACAAAGACTACTGGGTAGGGGGCTAAAGTCCAGAAAGGGCTGCACATGTAAGTTGTATATAGGACTGTGGCAAACTGATCCCGGGGTCCTATTGTACCATGCTTATCGATCGATCGATCGATCGATCGATCGATCGATCGATCGATCGATCGATCGATCGATCGATCGATCGATCGATCGATCGATCGATCGATCGATCGATCGATCGATCGATCGATCGATCGATCGATCGATCGATCGATCGATCGATCGATCGATCGATCGATCGATCGATCGATCGATCGATCGATCGATCGATCGATCGATCGATCGATCGATCGATCGATCGATCGATCGATCGATCGATCGATCGATCGATCGATCGATCGATCGATCGATCGATCGATCGATCGATCGATCGATCGATCGATCGATCGATCGATCGATCGATCGATCGATCGATCGATCGATCGATCGATCGATCGATCGATCGATCGATCGATCGATCGATCGATCGATCGATCGATCGATCGATCGATCGATCGATCGATCGATCGATCGATCGATCGATCGATCGATCGATCGATCGATCGATCGATCGATCGATCGATCGATCGATCGATCGATCGATCGATCGATCGATCGATCGATCGATCGATCGATCGATCGATCGATCGATCGATCGATCGATCGATCGATCGATCGATCGATCGATCGATCGATCGATCGATCGATCGATCGATCGATCGATCGATCGATCGATCGATCGATCGATCGATCGATCGATCGATCGATCGATCGATCGATCGATCGATCGATCGATAAATGTGCAAATCTGCCGTTCTGTTTGGTGTAATATTAGGACAAGCATTTTTGAGGCTATAGGCAAAACTATATGTACAATAGGACCGCCGTAGCAGCAGGAAATCAGTTCAATGCTCCACTGTGAATGCCTGAAACCACAGATACAAAGGATCCTATATACAACATACAAGAGTGCAGAACAAAGACTACTGGGTAGGGGGCTAAAGTCCAGAAAGGGCTGCACATGTAAGTTGTATATAGGACTGTGGTGATCCGATCCCGGGGTCCTATTGTACCATGCTTAAAAAAAATTAAAATAATGCAGAAGATAATCAGAATTCTATACCAGTAAGAACAGAATTCCAGAACTAAGATAAAATAATTTATTTTTAATTTAAGCCCATATTTTAGGGAAGCTGATTCATATGACACGTGTTGCTTTCTCTGCTATTGCCTGTCTGTATGTATCAGTATGATATGATATTGATAGAACCAGATAATTCTGGCTGATTAAAACATCTGTTATTTGTACAGGAGGAGCAAGAGTTGATTTGGTTGACCAAGATGGCCACTCTCCCTTACACTGGGCAGCTCTGGGAGGAAACCCCGATGTGTGCCAAATATTAATTGAAAATAAAATCAATCCCAATATACAAGATTATGCAGGCAGAACTCCGTTGCAGTGTGCTGCCTATGGGGGCTACATTAATTGCATGGTGGTGTTGCTGGAGAATAATGCAGATCCAAATATTCAAGATAAAGAGGTATGTATCTTATTACAGTATGTTGTTGTAACAGATCCAAATATTCAAGATAAAGAGGTATATATCTCATTATAGTATGTTGTTATAACATTATGAAATCATATATAATTAATTTTTTGGCCAGTTCTTACATCGTCTGATACACTACTTGCCATGTAACACGACAAGGCAGCAATCCATGAAGTGGGTTGTAACATTATGGTTGTAACATTATGAAATCATATATAATTAATTCCTTGGCCAGTTGTTACATCATCTGATACACTACCTGCCATGTAATCCAGGGTAATTCTGTCCTCACTAGCAGAACTGTCGGGGGGGGGGATAATGATGCGTGCAGCCAGCCATGTTTTAGATACACAAGGTGGTGGTGGGGAGGCTGGAAAACACAACTGTAGTATGTGTACCATGAGGTGTTTTAAATTTTATTTAGTGTTGTGCTTATTTATGGCAACACTTGTATTGACTGGAAATTCTGCAAAATGTTTCTGGTTCTAAATGCCATTACCATTATGTTTCTTCATTGAAGTGCAGAGCATTTGGGAATACTTAACAGAGAATGAGGGAGCCCAAACTGGTCTAAGTGTGACTCTTGTTTGGATCACAACCATTGTATATAAATTGCTACTAGTTTAATTAAATTGAAATTGTACTTTAAAAAAAAATAAGGAATGTATAGACTGGCTCTCAACTATAATAGCTATGGAAGGTCTGTGTATTTTGTGAATGCTCCAATTTCTACAATTTAAGATTTACATAGAAATTGTAAATGTTCATATATTTTCATTTTAAAAATATTGCACCCAATGAACAGTGTCTTACTCAATACATCAGGGTCTAATGTTTTGTTTTTGTGTATGCATAATTTTGCTATTGCTCTTTTTCATAATTTATTCTAGTTTTTCTAGTCCCAGGGCTGGGGACTGCCTTTAAGCATTGACAGCTTCAAACAATAGTTTATCACTCATTAATCTTTTTTCTCCATTTTAACATCTTGCTTATTTTATTTTTTTAAGTGATGTGGCTAGCACAGTATTTTAGGCACTTTTCTATCATATTTTTTAAAATACAGAAATACAGCATGATCCTGTGAAAAGCAACACTTTAGACATAATATATAAATGTTCTTTGTCACACTCATATACCCTGAAAAGTGACCCCTTTTGACGTTCATCTCTATGAAGCACCTACTTTTTGTGCCCTCACAAAGGTTCCAGTCTTTGTTTCCCTCACTGCCACCAGTGGATTACAGTACCTCTATCCACAATATAAAAGACATTTGTCCAAACACTTGTATGGTAAATGCAAACAGAACTTATTTATTGAAGTGTAGCAAAGTTAATAATAATCACAGATGTTCTTCAGATGTTCATTGTACACAGGCAAATCATTCACAGGTCTCTCTATACATACTTTCTTCTTGCCATATAATTAATTACCACCTTCTCTATTTATTTTAACCAGTCTCTAACTCAGTCTCTATCTCTTCTGACTCTAACTCTCTCACTCTCTCTGTCCCCCTTGACTCTTAGGCTCCGCCTTTTAACCTCTCTCTTGGCTCCTATGTTGTCCAGAAGCATGCTGGGTGTGTGGTTGCAGAGACTGACAATTTGAAAGATCAGTTTAAATTCAAGATAGTGGCTGAGACCAAGAGCAGCATTATTAAAAGAATCCTTTTTTAACCTGTTTATTCCATAACTCCCTTTCTTCTCAGTACTTCAAAAGAAATAGTCGTAACCTTGACCTGTCTTTTGTGTTTTGATGCCATTCAGTGGAAAGGGCTAAATCCAGTTGTTAATCTCACCCACAGAACAGACCTATGTATTAAACCAGCAGATTTTATGAAAATGTTGATTTAAAGTTCTGCTGGCTTATGCTCATTAGAATTAACGAATAGTTTTATCCCTAACTGCTTTACACTTATTTTAGCCCCCCTATCTATTCAAAATGTAATACAAAGGTTCACTGTAACTATGGCATAACAGGATGTTAATTTTTATACTGGTGCTGAATTTCCAAATGTAAGCTAACATCCAATGTACTTCTGATCTGTTCTGTGCATTTTAGGGAAGAACAGCATTACACTGGTTATGTAATAATGGCTACCTTGATGCTATAAAATTGTTGCTAGGATTTGGTGCCTTTCCTAACCATATGGAGAGCAATGAAGAAAGGTATGTATTATTATATGTTCTTTCAGATATTTTTATGGGCTTTCTTTTCACGAAATTAGTGCATCTGAGCTTGAAATATCAATTAGAAATTCATTAGCTTGATGTTTACTTCTCTCAGGAACCCATCAGGTCAAACATTAATTAACAAACCATTCTCTGTCAGCTTTGCAGCTCTTCCTTGCCTCACCTCAGATAATGCTGAACTACCTTACAAAAAAGTAACTTATTGTCTATACAAAGGACACAGAAATAGAGCACTGCTTTCAGTATCACTACATATAAATTTATAGGCCACATATATAGTTGTTGTAGAATGTCATTGTTTTTTCCCCCCAGTGTGGCAACTAGGAATCTAGATTTTGGTAGGTTTGGGAGCTGAATTCCTTAATACTAACCGCACATGGGTACAAATCATTCCCAGCTTTCTTTGCATTTACCAGCTTTGCTTGAATGAATAGTTTAGTGCTTTAGTACTCAAGGTACTTCTTGTCTATCTTTTGAACTGCAAAGATTTTTACATAGTCACCAAAGTGATCCAGTATAATGCTTAAAGGTTTCGGTGTTAGGTCTTGTGAGCTAAGGCATCTTGAGTAACTTTCCTTATATGTTGTATGTTAATAGGAAATGTAGTATGCAGTTCAAATAGGGTTGAGAATGTCCATACTCTGTATGCTATTAGTTGGCTACATATTTTATTGAAGCTTCAAAAAGTGCAAGTTTTACTAAACTATAATATTCAACTTCGAAAAGTATTTGTTATTACTGAACTGTGATACTGTATTTATATACATTGAAGTAAATATTCACAAAGGTTATTTTGCAAAAGAGACTGTTCCTAAGTTCTTATTTTGGACTGCGACATTCAAATTTCTTTGAGTTTCCTTTGTCTTATAGTTCTATTGACATTTGAGTGTCAGACACTGTGATCTTCCTATCAGCCAATCAGCATGTGGCAACTCTAATTTGGCTGGCTTTGTCTCTTTTCTTCTCTCTTTTCCTGCATTACATCTTTCCTGGTTACCATCAAGAGGAACTTCGATTTGACCATCCCATGCACTGACACTAACAGTTTCAATTGATGTATCACATATGGATTAGTTTTGTCTGTGGCAGGTAACTTCTAGCCTGTAGACATATTTGCCTGGTCTGAATGTTCTGTACCACATTTATATGAAAGTATTGACTGACTACCATTGTGAAGTATAAATGAACATTCCCGAATATTGACAAAATTATTTTGATGGGTGCAGGAAGCAGCTCTGTTTGTGTGTTTGTGTGTGAGAGAAGGGATCACTCCTGAGTACAACTTCCTTTATAGTTTATCAAAGAGTGGCTATGGGTGGGCAGCTGGTTGGAGGCCCTCACAGGCTGCTAATAAACTTAAGGACAATGCAGATGATACAAAGGTCTTTTGTTAGTTCACTGACCAGATCATGACCATGGTATTTAATTTTTGCTGCAGAAATGGATTCTCTCCAAAAATCAGGTTCATAGCTTGTAAAGGAAAACTGTTTTAGTAAAAGGGATGAATAAATATGTAAAAGATTGGTGCCTTTTTGTTTGGATTGGTTGTTTTCTTAGTATGTTTGCTCTTATTTTCTTATTCTATATGTACATTGCCCAGAATAATGTTGTGCACTAATAGGGCAGTATATAAATAAAATAAAATACATAAAATATTTCTATTTCACCCCTCCAGCAATATAGACATGATATTAAGACTTTAAATACTTATTCCTCATTTATTATTTGTTGGTTTTTAAATGGTGCTTTGAAAATTGCCTTAAAATCATATTAAATGGTGACGATTAAAATTAAGATCACTTAAAAGCATATAAGAGAGCATAAATGATTTTTGTAGTACCAGTATTAATTGTTGTTCAAGACAAAGTTAGTCTGGAATCTAAAAGAGAAGAAGTTTTTTAGGATTAAACTGAAATTTGAATGAAGAAAATCCTAGTTCACAGCCCAGCTACCTTATTGCAATCCAAGTATTATTATTTTTTTTGTCATCCAAGACAGTGCCACCCACTGGTGCATTTTTCACAAAGGGTTGATAATCTCACAGGTGCCTCTTTCGTTATGACTGGTAAAGCCCAGTTTATTATGACATTGACCACAACGAAAGATCCGTCATTTCCATCTATTTGCTTTTCATCATCTATATTTTCAGTTTAGACAAAAAGTGCTGAGGTAAAGAGGTGGTAAGCCACACCTCTTGAAAATTCTGTCATTATCCTTAGACTAAGTTAGGATAGTCTTTAGATAATGTCATTGTGTGCTCTGTATGGAGGACTTGGAACAGCGTCTAGTGTGGCTGAAAAGGCCAATTCGAGAGTGACAATCCTTTCCACACTGAAGACAAATACAATCTGTCCCCTGTCCAGCTCCCTGATTTTGCTGGTTTCAGGACTGCCTCTTTGTCTCAGCCTGCTGGACAAGTGTCTCTTCAAATTGGGAGAGCCCATGATGCACCGCCTGCCTCCAGGCTGAACACTCGGATGTCATCCTTCGACTACAAAAACTGAAAATAACAAACAGCTGGCGCTCAGGCACATCCCTTGTCTATGTTGCATTCGTTTAGGAGTCCAGCTTGACTCCTAAGAGCTGCTGAGGATTCTGATTGTTTCCTTGGAGACTTTTATGAAAGATTCCATACCTCTTGAACAGTTTCCCTGGATGGCCCAACATAGTTGCTGTTGATTTGTTGAACAGGACTTGTTGCCTTTATTTGTTGCAATCAATTTTTTCTTCTTTGTGGTCTCTGTGAATGCACATTATAGAGTTTAATCTGCACTTGCACAGAAATTTCCAGAATATTCTAGAGCTTTATCACGCGTTTGCCAGGACTGCCCCCCCAGAACACGTGGTCTGCCCATCCCGGCGATTGCCTCAGTTCCTTTTTGCCACCGCTGAGGTTTCATCTCTCGATGAGCTCTCCACAAACTATTGTCTATCCAATCTTAAAGAAAGAAAAACAGAGGGAAATCAGTGAGAGACTTTTGATCTGTATTCCCTCTTCCTACCGCCCCCTTCCCGCCATTTTATGGCCCCTACAAGCCCGTTCAAGCAGTACACTTCGTGCCCCAATAAGATCCCCCTTTCAGACGGACACAACTCTTGTCTATTTTGTCTTGGAGAATCCCATCAGCCATCTTCCTGTCACTTTTGTAAGAATCTCACAAAGCAGGTCCTCAAACTCCGGCAACGGTGCCTCAGATCTTTCCTCTCGGAAGGCTTCCTCTGTCCTGTACCATCTACAATGGAGCCGACTCAGACTTCCCAGCCTCTTCCTGCTTCTCCTGATATGCCTACCACTTCCCTGACACTGAAACTAACACCATCAAAGCCTAAATCTAAATATACCTCCAAAGCTGTCCTCAGGATCGACCTCTAAGTCAACACCGATACCAATCTGATATTTTCAATTAAATCCTGGTTTGTTTACACGGGGAATATATTACAGTAAAAAGCAATTAAGTAATCCACGTCATTTGTATATATGTAGCCTGTATCTACCATTGCAGAGTGATATGATTCTCTTTTATTCATACCAGAATACTTTTTCGAAATGTCTGTCTTGGTAAACAGGATATAAAAGAATGAAGCTAGCTGAGATGTAACATTTCTTGTTGTCCTAACAATAACAGTTGCTTCTACACTGGCTTCTAATTTGCATCATGGCTCTGGGTATCTGTGCTGTGTGAGGGATCAGTTCTTCTAAGGTTGACTGTGTAAAGATGGTGCTGTTTATCACCTTAGGGAGCTTCACACATTGTCCTGTTTATAATAGGTTGCATGTAGTGCCCTCTGGTTCCAGTTATTGAAGGTGAAGAGAGGGCAATGAGACTGACATAAGAAATACTGCAAAGCTAAAAAGAGAGATCTGATCTGGCCACTGTGACATATGTCTTAGTTACTTCCCGGCTGGTTTACTGTAACATGCTCTGTGTGGTGCTGCTGAAGGAAAGTGTCAGGAAACTCCAGTGGGTCCAAAATGGAGCAGCCAGATTGCTGACTGGGGCTTATTACAGGGGTCACATAACCCCACTGTTACAGTAGCTCCATTGGCTGCCAATCAGCTTCCGGGCACAATTCAAAGTGCTGGTTTTAACCTAAATGTCTTGGGTCCAAGCTCCCTCAATGTCTTATGGTCCAAGCTATCTCAAAGACCGTATCTCCTGTTATGAGTCAGTTCAGGTGTTAAGATCATCAGCAGAGGCCTTTCTCTCGGTCCCATCACCTTCACAGGTGTGTCCGATGGGGACACAGGAAAGAGCCTTCTCCGTTGCTGCTCCCAGACTTTGGAACTCCCTCCCACAGGAGGCCAGATTGGCCTCAACTTTTCTATCCTTCTACAAACAGGCAAAGACCTTTCTCTTCAGGCAAGCCTTTCCACAGTAACTAAGCTACCTGTGTGTGATCCTTTTTTAAAAGGTGGATTGTTATGCATTACTGCTTTCATTGGATTTTTAACAGTACTTTGTTTTCCATTTTTGTGTTTTCCATTTATCAGAGTGGCTTTTTTTAAAAAAAATTGTATACTTACTGTTCTTGGCTCTAATACTGTCTTTTACTGATGTAATTTGCCTCTTTACTCATTGTTCTTAACTTTAAATATTATCTTTTAATGATGTTAACCATCATTGCATAATTATTTCCATTTTCAAATATTGTCTTTCAATACTGTAAGTCACCTTGGGTCCTTTTCAAGGAGAAAGATGGGGTAAAAACAAACAAACATTAGAAAATAATTAGCTGCTTCTTTGTATCTACTAATTCAGCATTTTCCTTTTGAGCATATAACTTTCCCATTGTTGCCTACACAGGCTTTGCTTTTTATCTATATGATATTGAAGCTTTGTTAAAATAATTGTCATCATAAATGTATTATTGTTCTGCTGCTGCTGCTGACAGTTGGCAATTGCTTTCCACTCCTTGTTCTTAGCAAAGAATGTCACTGTCCCAATGATCATACTTCCAGCTGTATCACTTTCTTTCTCCTTCATAGAGAAAAATAGGAAATGACTGCATCACTTCTTTCTTTTGTTCTTTTGTTCTTTTTTATTAGTGAGCACATTCCCCTGTTTGCCTTGCAAGTACAAGATATCCTTTACAACACAGTTGAACATATGACATTGCTGTGTTCGAAATCCAACATGGCAGTAACACAGGTGCATTATTTGGAAATGAAAATGCTCTCTTGTTCCATTAGATACCAGTATTTTGTTCTTCTTAGGTATACTCCACTTGATTATGCCTTACTTGGAGCTCATCACGAAGTAATTCAGTTCATGTTGGAGCATAATGCACTATCCATAGCTGCCATACAGGACATTGCTGCCATCAAAATACAAGCAGTCTATAAGGGATACAAAGTTAGAAAAACATTTCAAGATAGGAAAAATCTTCTTATGAAGCATGAACAGCTGAGGAAGGATGCTGCTGCTAAGTAAGTCTGATATGTGCAGGTAAAAAAAACCCTCCAAAGATTGTTTGGAATTGTGGGAAGTGTTCAGTTCTAATATAGTGAAACTATGTGTCAGTTTTTTTCTTTGTAGGTAAAAATTAATTATTATAAAATGATACAAAGGATAACAAATGAAATGCTATGTTATTTCAAGAATGTTATATAGTATGTGTGTAGCAGTTCTGAAGAACGATGAAAATGCAGCTGAACTGTACAGACAAAGCCCAATTTACTTCTAAATGGTTCTTGCATAATTTGTGTGATGAATTAAATTTTCATTTACTTCTACTAAAAAACAGTAGGAAGTAAACTAGATGGGATATGAGATGATAACCATTTTATTGGTCATCATGTGCTTGGTGTGTTTTCTTTACTTTAACCCAAGGGGGAAAGAGATACAGTTTCTATATCTTTTTTTGTACAGGTAGGAAAACTATGTGGTAGGTGGAGGAAGATTTTGCATAGACAAATAACAAGAAGGCTAAAGGTAGAAACAGATCTTTCCCATCCTCAACCTTCAGCTTTCAGTTTCAGCTTCCCATTTGTTATTATATGCTGTCAAAACGGTTCTTGGAAATTCAAGAGTGTGGATTATCTTACTCTCTGTCTCTAGCGACACCTTGTTATACTAATCTTTTCTGGTTTCTTCTTTCCTGCCTTTCCTAGTCTCGGTCTTCTTCTGAGTCTTCTGATTTCTTGGCTGCAGTCTCCATTACAGACTCCCATAGATAAAGGAAAAATTACAGAAGTGTTTTTCAGCTGCAGTTTGGGTCTCAGCTGTGAACAAAGACTTCCATTCATTTACATGCTATTAAACCTGGATTAATTTGATGAGGAAGGTGAGGACTGCAGAAATTATGAGAAATATCAGCTGATTTTAATCCACCCCATCTCATCATTCATGGCTGTAATACAGGTGCATTCCATTTTTCATTTGAGAACTCCACAGTATTTGCTAAGTACAATTTGCCTGTGTTACAGAAGCTGCTTTGGGACATCCAAAAGCATGCATATACCCAACAAGATTATTTATTCTTTAAACTAGGACAACAGCTGCCTACAACCTCCCCTAGTTACAGGTCTGCCCACTTCTCAGCTTTAGGTAAAGGTTCCCCTTGACATTTAGTCCAGTCGTGTCCGACTCTAGGGCACAGTGCTCATCCCTGTTTCCAAGCCATAGAGCCAGCGTTTGTCCGAAGACAGTTTCGGAACACTGCTACTTGTCACATACAGTCCACAATTGAAACCACTAAGATGCATCTAAAGTGATCTCCAGCCTGTCCTTGATAATAACACTTCACTCTCCAAAGCCCTTGGTGGGATATCCATACTTGCCTACAAACTATCCTCCAACCTCAAGCAAATGCTAACAATGGACACAAAAACAGCGACATGGACAGGGAGATTAAACCCTGCCACAGACTCAGATGCCAGCTCTGCCCACCAGATCTATTCTGGGAACATGATTATAGGATCTAATAATGCCACATACAATATCACAGGCACCTCCATTTCCTCCTCAGCAAATGTGATCTATTCCATCTTTTGCCAACAATGCCCCTCTGCACTCTACATAGGAGAAACAGGACAGTCTCTACAGAAACAGGTCAATGGTCACAAATCTGACATCAGAAACCACAACACACAGAAACCTGTCTCCAACCATTTAAATCAACCAGGATATTCTGTGGAAGATTTGAAAGTTCCTGTTTTAGAATAGAATCGTTGCAAATCAGGAATACAAAGAGAAACAGCCGAGATAAAATTTATACACATTATGGACACTCATATAAGTGGACTGAATATAAACTTTGGTTTCTTAATTCATTACCAAATGTAATACTTCTACTCTTATCTACTGCCACTGTTCTTTTCTTTATAACTACCAAGCCCATCTCTCAACACAAGGCTCAAAGGTAAAAACTGTCAATATTCCCTACATTAACACATGCGATTGCTCTTCTTTCATTTTTCTATTTATATTCTTTCCCCCTCTTGAATTTCCATTGTATCCCCAGTCTTCCGACCCCCAATTTCCTTTCTCTTCTTGTCCCTTATCTTTGCCCAAGCCTGGTGTCTGTTTTCCATCTCCTGGAGTAATGTTTAGGTTTACAACAGTACCCTAAGACAACATAGGTCATAAACTACTGCTGTAGAGGTACCATTATCCAAGAGCCAATGAGTATTAAGAATGTTCTGCTTGTGAAACTGATATTTCATTTACATTTAATTCTGTTTCCATATGTCTGACAAAGTAGACATGTCCACGGAAGCTTACATTAAAATATAATAGTCTTTAAGGTGCCGTGTGTTTTTATCTTGTTTTGTTTCTTTGGAGTTTGGCCTGTTATTCTTGCACAGGCTTACATGGCTACCTCCTCCAAAACTAAAACTATGTAAAGCTGGTATCTTTTTTTCTGGTGGAAATTTGGGCATGATATTGTACAGCAACATAGAGCCATTTCCTGACTTTTTGAATTGTGGGTACAGAAGCACAATGTCCCCCATTCATACACTAAAGGTTTTTTGAACAATTGAATTAATACATTCCTTAGAGAGTGAGTAGAGGGGAAAGTAATGTACCATCTTTGCTTATTACTTGCAGCAGCCTTCTTAAACAATCCTAGCTTCCATTAAAATACATTGCCAGAATGTTACTCAGCAGCCACTGATTACTGTTAGGTCTTCAAAAGATTTGCCTTCAGTGAAACAGCATAATAGAGGTGTTTATCAAAATCTTATAATAAAGATAAGTGCCCTGAATCTCTTTCCAATCAGAGCGAGTGTATAGCTATAGGAGGAGGGGAACTTAGAGGCCTAGCTATCCCAAACATTTGTTTGGCATCTTTTCCCAGAGTAAATATGGACTGGCTATTAATTTCACTAGGTTCTAATAGTCCTGCCTGCCTGCCTTGGTATATTTTCAAGGATTGCAGCTTACCTACTTCTTCTTCAACTGTGCTGACCCCACCTTCATTATATTCACATTAACCCAGATCAGTATTCCTGGTTATGAGCCTGAGTTCAAGGTAGTGGACTGTAAAGGACAATTGAACACCCTGGACTATTGTCTCCCCCCACACACGCCTTGTTACAGCTGTCCCACTTCTTTTATCAGGTGGCATGACAACAAGACAGGGAAAACATTCCCCTTCCTCTGAGTCACTGTCTGCCAGTGAAAACAATTTTTTTAAGGAAGTGGTTGACTAATAGTCATGCAAGGCTGTAGTCCCAAATTTTTATTTTTTATTTTTTCGTCTTTTTTCAGATGTGAGAATGTCAGTGATCTGAACCAATCACTTACTGATTTTGGAGGCACTTGGCCAATGAATGTCCTGGAGTGGCAAGAAGACTGCCATTCATTGTCCCATCATTGGGTATGTTACCCCCCCCCCCAGAAGTAGTGTCTGGTTGGTCCAGATCACTTCCACTCTTGCACTTAGAAAATAATTTAAATTTCAAGTGGCAAACATGTGGCTAAAATCTTAGCTGGCCACAATAATATTTTCCATTTCCTGTGATTTGCTTCTGCTGTTGCTATGCCAGAGGTGTTTAATCCCTTCTTCTGGATCTGTACCCTGTGATTTGTTCCCAGAGTACTTCTGCCAGTAACGTTATTCACGGTCATTACTCTTCAGCCTGTAACATGAAGTAGTTAGCCCTCACACTGGAATCAGTAAGATTTGCCTTTTACAGTAAAAGGCCCTTAGTAGTTTGTTCACAAGTCAGCAACATAATTACAGTACAGTATTATAATTTTCAGTTTGTACCACTATATATGCTTGATGTGAGAATGCTCTGGGCAGTCAGTCTGTTGGAGAATGCTGGCTTAAAAGAAGGGATGCACATCTGTGTTTGGAAATATTTGGAATTCATGAAATAGTGCCATATTCAGATATTTCCAAATAGATCTGAATCTCAGTTTGGTAGTTCTGAATATCTGTAATAATTCCTAGTATTCAGAGTTCCATATACTCCTATAGATTAGAAAGCAAAAGGCTAGGCTTTGCTTGCTAGAGGAAGAAGTGAAAGTGAAACTTATTTCTCAGGCAACCTGGAGTGATTTCTTAAGAAATGGAACTTAAAGTCACTCTGGAACCAAGGATAGTCGGAGCAGGGAACTCACTATCTCCTGATTGGGGTTGCCATGGGTTTCCTAAGGGAGGGGGCCTGGGCTGAAAGTAAAAACCAGCAAATGATGTTTGTCTGCAGCAATGAAATCTAGACGTAGGTACAGATACCAGGACATGTTTTCATACATTGGCTCTTTCAAGTTGAAAGAAAAGAAGGCATGTGCCCAGAATACCTGTTCTCTGCTTCCCCAATGTTGCTGCTGTTTCCTGATGACATTCCCATAGCTCACGGTTCAATCAGTATGCCCATTACAGTGACATTCCTGGGCTGTCTTTCCTCCTCTAGCCAAAAATAATTTCTTTGAGTTTCAAAAAGGCAGAGAAGGGATGGGGGGGGGGCAGCCTGACAGCCTTACTGTCTTCTGTTTTAAAAGATGGGCCATAAATTCCAAACTGGTAGCTGAGGATGAGCTTGAAAAAAAACTTGTATACTGCATTATCTCCATCTAAGACGCAAACCTGGCTTCAACATCATCAGCCATGTGAATTTGAGACATTAATAGCAGCATATAGGCTGGAACTACCCACAGGTACTTGATACATAGCCTTCAAGGATATGATTTATCATTGAAAGCTCACAGTTTGTTTGTTTTTGTTTTATACAGTGGTACCTCGACTTACACCTTAATCTGTATTGGAACGGTGTTCGTAAATCAGAGTACCATTTCCCATTGAAATGCATGGGAACGGGATTAATCCATTCCAGCATTTCAAAAAAAACCCAAAAAATAAAAATAATAAAAAATAAACAGAGCAAGTCCAATGCTGGGACAGCAAAAAAAAATTCCAAAAACAACACAGGACAGAAACATAACCCCCCCAGTCCAAACCCACCCTCCAAAACCCACCCAGAACAGTTTTTTAAAAAGGAAAAAGGAGAACCTTACCCATCCGAAGCCTCCTGGCACTCCGCTTTCTCCGCCACGGCTGGGGGCAAGCGGCAAAGCACCTGGCCAGCTCAAGTCTCCCGGCGCTAGGTGACCACTGCCTCTGATCGTGGTTGGGGGGGACCCCCATGAGGGTTCCCAGGGCTTCCCTGCCACCATTGGAGACCTCCTGGGCATCCAGTTGTGGCGGCAGAGGAGCAATTTTTAATTTCCTGCCTTTTTCTGCCGCCGCGATCAGACCCCCGGGAGGTCTCCCAGGGGTTCCCCACCGCCACTTCCTGGAGGTCCCCCGCCACCACGATTGGTGCCTTCAGGCTTTCGCAGGGGGTAGACTGGGCCTCCCTACCAGGGGAAGCCCTCCTGAGGGCTTCCCCTCGTAGGTCCAGTCTACCCCCTGGGAAAGCCTGGTAGACCGGGCCTACCAGGGGCTTCCGAAAGCACCAATCGTGGTGGCAGGGGACCCCCAGGAGGTCTCCGATGGCAGTGGGGAAGCCCTGGGAGACCTGGTGTCCCCCGCCGCCATCGGAGACTTCCTGGTAGTCCCTTTTCCTAACCGTTGGGGTGAAAGAGCAGCCTCTTCACCACTAACGGTTTGAATGAAACAACAACAAAAAAGGCATGGGGAATTTGAATTTCCTGCCCTTTTCCCCTGCCTTTTTTTGTTCGCAAGTCGAGGCTCCATTCACAAATTGAAGCACCATTTTGCAAATGGAGCTGTTTGTAACTCGAAACGTTCGCAAGTGGAGATGTTCGTAAGTCAAGGTACCACTGTATTCTTAATGGTCAATTAAAGATATCACCTGTTACTGTATTTATATTCCATGACCATGTGCCCCTTTCCTGATTTTTCCTAATACCTAGGCACTGCTGCCTGATGGTGTGCACTCTTTTTGTTTGGCACAATCATTGGGAAGTTGTCAGATGGCAGCGGGAAATCCTTTAAAAATGTTTTGCCTGTTTTTGGTTTAATTTTAAGGGGAAAATAATGACTATCTAGTATTCATATTGACTGTAATGGGGTTCAAAATTTCCTAAAATTCCTAATTTTAAAAATTCTGAAACAGGACTGTAATTCCAAATCAGAATTCTGGTGCTAGTACACATCCCTACTTCAAAGTGAGACCTGATTTTTTTTCTCTTTTCAGATACATTTGAAGGAAAATCTTATAGTCATGTGTTGCAAGTGATTTTCACAAACATTTAACATTCTGAACGTTGGTTATAGGAAACGTGAGGAAGAAAACAGAAGGAAAGCCTCCGAGCTACAGAAAGAAATGCAGAACTCCAAGACCGACAAGCTCCAAAAAGAGCAGCAGGATCTCTCAGAGACAGAGAAATGCCGTGTGAAACACCCCATCCCACAGTCACCTCTTCCACAGAGCAGCATATCTGAAAGCCAAGCAGGGAAAAGCAGAAGAAGCTCAAACCCAGGTTTCCCAAACAAAGTAGCAGTAAAAAATAAATCTGGTTCCCTAGAGCTGCTTGGTGAAGATCACAAAATACAAATAGGTTTGTAATCTCCCTCTATCCTTTTGTCACAGCTGGTGGTATTGTAGCAAGCAGAGGATCAAGCATGGACCAACACTTTAAGAGGAACCTAATCCATATTTAAGCCATGTGGTGTTCAGATTCAGGAATCAGGCTACAGTCCACTGCTTTATAAGACCAGGTAGTACCCTACTGGGATTTGTGTCACCTGATAGTTGATGAATTAGTAGCTGCAATACCATTCCCTGGCTACCCATCTCTATTGCTGGCATCCACAGTAGCAGAGCATGAGCCCACAGGTCACATCTCTCTAATGCTGCCATATAAAGTAGAATAATTGATAATTAGAGATGGGGAGCTGTAGCATTTGCCCTTGTGGCCCTTGCTTGTCTTTTCTTCACAAAGAAAAACTGTTACTAGAAAATTGTGTGTATGTGTTCTGTGTCATCAAGTCAGAACCAACTTATAGTGACCCTAGTAGGGCTTGAGATGTTTCAGGAGTGGTTTTACCATTTCCACCCCCTCCGTGAGTTTCCATGGCCAAGTGGGGATTTGAACCCTGTTCTCCAGAGTCCTAGTCTGTCACGCTATCCACTACACCAGACTGGGAATCCTACTAGGAAATTACGAGATGATAATTCTTTTTTGTTTATCTCTATTCCTCTAGAGTTATCCAAGGCAAACAGCAAAAGCAAGTTTCCCTGTCTCCCTTTTCATTCTAGAAAGGAAAACAATGGGTCTAAACAGCAGGCTGAAATTAAGCATCAAACTGTATCTGCTACTTTAGGCAGCCGTAATAAAAAACACAAGGAGCCAAATGCAAGAACAACTGGCAGCTTCACACATGCCAGGAAAAGGCATAACTCCAGCATGAAAGCTGCGAGCTCCAGGGAGAAATCAGAAAATCAAAGCCAGTCAATAAACAATTATCCAAACTATTGTGAAGGAACAGCAGCTTGCATTCAGAATGGTAACTGCACTAATGGAGGCACAAGGAATTTGAGCCAATGCGACACAGAAAATAAGGGAAACCCTTGGCAGCTGAAGGCAAGAAGCAAAGGAATAAATGATGAGAGATGGTCCCCTGCTGGCTCCAGTAGGCCAGGTAGTGCCAGAGGAAGAGGTATGAACAACAGAAGTGACACTTCAAGTCCTGCAGTGAGACATACCAGCAAGCTGGCAAACAACAAGGCCTGTCTGTTGCCTGTCAACAACGCAAGGACTATTAGACTTTTGCCTGACAGAATGGCTGTAGGTGCTGACTCTAAAGACAGTTCCAAGCTGGACAGGAATGTTCTAATGTCACCCAGGAATTCAGAGGATCAGCTCTGTTTTGTTCAGCACAAGAGCAGAGATACTGAACCTGTCCCATTCGAAACCCGTAAGCAGATGATAGAAAAGGAAAGGGCGCGAAAAGAGCTCTTCTGGATAAAGAACTGTGCAGCAAACATTATTCAAAGAGCTTGGAGAAGGTAAGCACACTTCATGCTTTCTTCCTCTCTAATTTCTATCATTTTACCTACTAGTTACTATGCCTCATGAAGGTGATATCATTTTTCCTAATATCTGGGGAGTGGGAGCAAGCACTGAAAGTTTCAAGTAAGCTAAAACTAATACTCAGAATAGTTAAATAATGAAAAATATATGAAAGTATTTTTTTAGAGTGTAAGAGGATTTGTGCAAGTTTCCCCCACCAGCATTTCCCTTTCACATCAGTCATGAAACCAGCTGTGTAGCCAGTCTTGCAACCAGTGCAAGACTGGACACACAACATGGATCTTGCTGAAGCATAGCAAACACCTCTGTGATCACTAGGGAAGTGCCGTTTTTGTTTTGCTTTGTTTTTTGAATGTTTGTGGGTTTTTGGGGTGTGGGGGGGCTTTTGTTTTGTTTCTACTACAGTCTCACCTGAGACACCTACAGACATCCGAACATGTCTCACCTGGAAGAAAGACCTAAATCAGAAGACTTTATGGCCTAGCTTAGGTTTATTTCCACCTAGCTTCCTGTTCAAAAGGGAAGATGTCCTGGTATTTGTCTGGGAGCTTTCTTTTTGAACAGAGAGCTAGGGTATGCTAGATCACAAAGCCTTCCAAGTGAGCCACATTAAAGTTTCTATAGGTGCTTGTCTGTCAGGTAGGACTCTCCGCATGAGCAGTACTGGGATTTGTAACAAAATAAAACAAACCTTCATATTCATAAGGAACACCCTTCCATGATCACATAATTCAGTATGATATTGGCTATAGGAAACTTGTGTAGGAAGTGGGGGCAGAATATGAGATGCACTACCATTATTTTCATTTGATTGTTCAATTACATTCTCTTGAAAATAATTTTTAAATAATAGCAGAGGTGGGGGAATTGGAAAGACAGTGAATAAAAAAGGGTCAACAGGGAAGGATACATATTGCCTTGCAAATAATTGGGCAAAAATTAGGAGTCCACTAAAAAAAATCCTAGCATGCTAGTCCCACAACAGTCCAGACAACCAACTAACTTGCAGTATCAAATAGCCCTTTTTTATTATTTCATATTCACAATTTTTATTCCTCTCAGCTGACTATGAAGGTTACTTTTTACTGTTGAATATGGATATATATGGATTTTTTTAAAAGTACAAATGGGACTCCTCTATACATTGGGTTAAAGATGGGTCCCCAGTGTTCAACAATCCAAAGAAATCTAAGGATTATTTTTCTTCCTTGGGACTTTATTATTAGTTGTAAGAAGGGAACTGATCAATCCAAAGCAAACTTAGGTCTTGCAGCTATTTGAAATAGACCGTTTTTGTGTGCTGAGCAGTCTTATGAAAAGTTTTCCTGTCTCCTAAACCCCATAATTTCCTTTACCAAGCACCAGAATCAAAACTAGATGAGCTGTTATAGAAATTATGGAATCTAGCCTTACATTTGAATGTTTATATTGGTGGTATTATCTAGTACAAGTAATTTTTCCCCTTCTCCAGTTGTGTGGATTTTTCACCTCTTATATCTCCGGTCTTGAATGCCTCTGGAAGCTGTTTTTCTTCTGTGAAAGCACCAGAGAAGACTACTGGAACTGGATATCATGGCAACCATAGTTAGGTAGATGCTGTAGTGCTCACCCTGCTCATTAGTATTTATGTGGAGATTTGCATGCACCAATGGGAGTTGGTGAGGGGTGGAGCTAAGTGGGGGTAAAGAAAAGGAAGGGAGGAGGATAGAGTAGGCAGTTGAGAGTGAAGAGAAAAGGTTGTTTTAGTGGTTAATGATATTGACTGGACTGTAATCACCTGTAACAATAAACAATTTCTACTTCGTTCTGAAATGATACGTCGTCTGGCCCTCTGTCATTAATAGTAAATAAAGCTGATGTCCCACATATAGTTTCCTGAGAAACCTATATGTGGGACAGGAGGCAACAGTTAGAACTGGATATGGAGCAACTGATTGGTTCAAAATTGGGAAAGGAGTACAACAAGGCTGTATATTGTCCCCCGACTTATTTAACTTATATGCAGAATACATCATGCGGAAGACTGGACTGGAGGAATCCCAAACCGGAATTAAGATTGCTGGAAGAAATATCAACAAACTCTGATATGCAGATGATACCACTCTGATGGCAGAAAGTGAGGAGGAATTAAAGAACCTTGTAATGAGGGTGAAAGAGGAAAGTGCAAAAAACGGCCTGAAACTCAACATAAAAAAAACTAAGGTCATGGCCACTGGTCCCATCACCTCCTGGGAAATTGAAGGGGAAGATATGGAGGCAATGACAGATTTTACTTTCTTGGGCTCCACAATCACTGCAGATGGAGACAGCAGCCATGAAATTAAAAGACGCCTGCTTCTTGGGAGGAAAGCGATGACAAA